ACGGGTATACATAAGCAAGTCTTTCTCAGCTCAATTTCTGACCACATATGTAAGTGAACAGACTTCACAGATTACAATGACTGGGAATGCAGCCTTTGCAAACAGTATGGAAAATTCACTGAACAAATGAAAAATTGTGCCCCTCCAGCAGGAAACATCATCAACTAAGAGACTGTGTCTAATCTGGTTTTTAAAGTTGAAACATTAGAACATTCAAAATGTCCAGAACTCAACAAAATATTTCTAAGTTTACCAAGGAATAAGGAAGTGTAACACATTCATGGTGGGGAAATCATCTGAAAATTTCCTGAGGAGGAATAGCATACCTGAGGAAGGGTGAAAAAAATAAATTAACCTTGTTAATATGCTCATGGTGATCAAGAAATTCATGGAAAAAGATCTATAGAATATTAGGAAAATTATGTCTGTATAAGCAAGAAATATTAAAAGTACATATTAAAAAAGAGCCAAACATTCTGGAACAGAAAAGATAAAGAACTAAAACGAAAGCTTCTTCATGGGTGTTCAATAGTTGCTTTGAGCAGACCAAAGAATAATCAATTTACTGAAGAGACATTAATTGAAATCCCACTGTATGAAGAGAAAAAATAATTAATTAATAAAACTAACAACATATGAGAGATCTATGGGCAACCTTAAACAGAGCAATAGATGCATTGTGTGTGTCTCACAAGCAAAAAGATAAAGGTGAAGAAATATCTTGTGAAATAATAACTATAAGTGCAAACATGAGAAAAGATCTGCATCTTTTTCAAGGAGCTCAATGAGTTGAAATCAGAGTTTGAGAGTGACATATTTTATGACAACTATCATAAGTCAAGTATGAAAACAAAACACTGAGAAGAGCGAGAGAGAAGAAACTCTTTACACTCAGTGATTCTTAGTAATATTAATATTTGACTTCTCATCTGAAGCAATTCAGGCCACTAGTTAGGGATAAAATATCAACTGATGAAAGAAAAGTTTTTCTTTCTTTCAAGAATTATATACCTGGGCCTGAGGTAGTGGCTCAATGGTAAAGTGCTTGCCTGGCATGTGTGAGACACTGGGTTTGATTCTCAGCACCACATATAAAGAAATAAAATAAAGGTCCATTTACATTTAAAAAGATTTTTTTAAAAAGAATTATATGCCAGGCAAAACTATTCTTCTAAATTAGAAATGCTATTATGGTTTGGATATTCCATGTTTCCCAAAATGTACAAGTGTTTAAAGCAAGCTCCCCAAGGGAGAAAAGTTTTTTTTTTTTAAGTGCATACATTTTATTTTTATTGTTTTAGTATCATATTTCTTTATAACAAATTTCACAATTTGCATGCTTTTTGTTTTATCACAAGGGAAGATGACTACAAATATGACACATATCCTAACATAAATTTAAATATTAAATACAAAAGTATCTTAAAATATAGTTATGTAAAATCTAACTTAAAAAATTAATTGCTTTTATTTTTTAAATACATGGCAGTGGAATGCATCAAAATTCTTATTACACATATAGAACACAGTTTTTCATATCTCTGTATATAAAGTATGTTCACACAAACATTTTTAATATAACTCTCATACATAAATAAAGCTTCAAATATTTATTATATATGGAAAAGTTCAGTTTTATAGAAAATATTAAAATGGATAAAAATATGAATATACTTTTTTAAAGAAATACAAATTACTAGTAGAATATTAATTATCTTTTTATTTTTATTTAAATTTGTTATATGACAGCTGAATGCATCACAATTCATATTACACATAGAGAGCACAATTTTTCATATCTCTTATTGTACACAAAGTAGAGTCACATCATTCATGTCTTCATAAATATACTTTTAATACATTTTTTAAAATTCTAATTTGTTATATGTGACAGCAGAATGCATTACAATTCATATTAAACATATAGAGCATAAGTTTTCATATCTCTGGTTGAATACAAAGTATATTCACACCATTTGTGTCTTCATAAATTTACTTAGGGTAATGATGTCCACCTCATTCCACTGTCTTTCCTATCCCTGTATCCCTTCATTTCCCCTCCCTCCCCTTCGCCCTCTCTATTGTTAGAGAGGTGGAGTATTTATGAAATTATTTGATAATGAGGGCTCTGATGTCCTCAATGGATTAATCCATTAATGGATTACTGGGAGGTAGGACATACATGGGGAAAGTAAATCAATGGGGGGATGCTTTAGAAGGATTTATCTTCTCCCTGGCTACTGCACACACACCCCTCCTCCTTCTCTTCCTCCTCCTATTCCTTCTCCTCTCCCTTCGCCTCCTCTTCTTTTTCTTCTTCTTCCTTTTTTTCTTCTATTCCTGTATCTTTCTCTCTTTCTCACTCCCAGATTCCAGAAGCTGATCAACTTCCCTCCATGAAGCCCTTCTATCGTGAGTTTTCTACAATTGAGTCAGCAGATCATAGTGACCTAAGAAACTGTGAGTCAAAATAAATATGTCATCCTCAAAGTTGTTCTTATCAGTATTTGGTCAGGGTGATGAAAAGATGACTAATAAAAATGGGATAGTCATAGAGCACATTATTTGTTCTGGTAGTCTTGCCCACGATGTCATCCTAAGGGCAGTTCTAAGACTAGACAGGGTCAAGAGATGGTAGCTGGAGGATCTGAAGAATCCAAGATCTCTGAAAAGCTAACTGCATAGGTGAACATAAATACTAGTACATGTGTAGTATTGTAATAATATTCTGTATTATTTTATTGCATGAATGAAAAGATGAAAAAAGACACATTTTGAATTGATAATACAAATGGGAACAAAATGCACACAAATCAAGGAGAATGAATAGCTAAGGGTATGTGGAAAGGTAATATATGCTGATGTTCTCAGTGAAGTTTATCAGTGTCAGAGTTTTGCACATGACTGAGCCCTTGATGATGATCATATGCTGATGGAACTACTTAAGTATCAATTCAAACTATATTGTTATTTAAGTAAGTCAGTATGTGTCATACACATATAGTAGCCACTCTGAAAATATAGGTAAAAGGACATGAAGAGGTAACCAAAATGGTACTTCAAAATGGTACTGGGAAATAATTAACCAATCACAATGGAAACCAGTAGTAGAACAGTAAAGAACAACAACAACAACAACAACAACAACAAAAATATATAAGTTACATGTAGAAAACTAACAGCACATTTTCAGAAGTATTCCATTATCATTAATAACACCAAATAAAAATATGAGACTTGGTTACTCAACACATAAGAAGCCTGTGTCCCCTTATGGTTTAACACATTTTCTCTGTTGTACTTTTGGAGAAAGGCCATAGATGATTTGACCATCTTCTAACAAAAACAAAACACCTGGTCACAAGACCTGGGACTGAAATGACTCCCCATTCTGAGAGTTATAGGGCAGGGTGGCATGAGTAGTAGTCACAGAAGTGAGGCTGGACACAGGCTCTTTGGTAACAAAGGCTTTGAATTCACCAAGGAGACAGAGGCTCTTGCTCTGGGAATACTCAACCAGCAGGGGGCAGCAGAGCAGTAGTCAGAAGCAGACAGCACACAGGCCGCTGAATAGGCTTAGTCCAAGAGTGAAGCCAGCTCTGCATGTTGCTCATCTCTGCAACCTAACAGGAGTCCAATTTCAGTCAGAAGAGTCCAAACTATGCTCTGGGCTGCAGTGAGCACATTATTAGGGTCAGGCTAACACAGGGTCACAACAGGACACTGTCAAGAGTCCAGGCACAAAGAGGACCTCAGCTGGGAAACGCTTAGGAGGAGCCTTGTCATATCTGTCAGCATGGGCAGTCCTTGCTGGGTAAAACTCACTGGAGGGACCTAGCTGAGGTCCAGGAGCTCTAGAATGGAGCACAGCACGAGAAGATGAGTTTACAATATGTGTCATTTTCTCAGCATGAATGCATACACCTCCTCCTAACCTCAGGGCACCATTTATCACTGTCCAGAAATCATCCCAGGGATGAAGACACTTTGAAACATTTCTATACACTTCCCCCTGGATTTTTCTCCACCTCCAGGCATATCTTGCCTCAGGCTGTGACTCCTATGCTCAGGTGTAATCTTTGATGAGGGAAGAGGGCATTTGGTCCCTGTCCCTGGATGGAGTATGCATAGGCTCCTTAAGGAGACTCTCAGAGTGACACTGACCTTTCATCTGCCTCACATCACATGAACCTTGAATTAACCTTGGTTCAGTGACAGGATCCTCTTGATTGAGGGATCCTTGACAACCCACACTCCAGAGCTCAGCCATGACACTGATGAACTTCACAGAGAACATGGGGCCTAAAGTTGTTTTCTCCATCAAGTTTGGATTATGACAATTTTAAACATATTACATAAAACATGGATGATTAAAAAATAGCATAAATTTGACTATTGCTAGTATATTGTGTAATGAAGGATGCTAAAAAGTGTTTTTGAAGTCAGAAAATGTAGAAAACAAATAAAAGAAGGTGGTTCATTAAATGAACAAGGTATAATGTGTGACATAATTAAAAGCATCTCAACAACCAGAAAAACATTAAACAAAATACCAAAGATGAAAATAAAGTGCATCTGGGAAACCATGAGAGCAGAATGAGGAAGGTGAGGGTCCATTGTCCACCACAGTTGGGCCCAGCTCAGCCCTTGGCCAGGCTCCTGCAAGGTTAACAGCCCTGTTAAAATAGAGCTGGGGAGAACAGCCCAGAAGAATTGAAACACTGGTTAATGGTTAAATTCCCTGAAAATGACATTAATCAGAGGTCATGGAAATCAAGGCTTATTTTTTTTTCCTCAAAGTAGCTTGGAGTAAGTTGAATGCAATTTTACAATCTCTTCTTCTTCACCAATTTTACAGTCTCTTCTTCTGTACCCAAAGCTGGTTTTAGTGACTTCTCATAATTGGTGGTTACAGAGGATGGAAAATTTGCATGATCACTAGACATGCATTTACATAAAAATATTGAAAGGAATAAGAGAGGTGCTGGAGAACCCAGCTGTGCCGTGCATATCAGGACGAAGAGTTTTGGTGTGTCTCCACCATGAACTGCATACCTCTACTATTCCCACTCCTCTTGCTCTACACAGGTGATCTCTTGTGCCCTGTCCCAGACTTTATCTATGGGGTTACCACAGGGTCATTAGTTGGACCTTCCCCAAACTCTAAGCTCATGTGAGACATATATTTATTGGATCCCCTGGGTATGGGTCCTTCATCTCTCTCTCTCTCTCCTTTTGCAGGCTCTGTGGTCTCCTATGAGCTGATTCAGCCACCCTCAGTCTCAGTAGCCCCAGGACAGACAGCCACAATCACCTGCTCTGGAGATGCACTGCCTAAAATTTATGCATACTGGTTCCAGCAGAAGCACCCAGGACAGAGCCCTCTCCGGTTAATATACAAAGATAGTGAGAGACCCTCAGGGATCCCGGAGAGATTCTCTGGGTCCAGCTCAGGGACAACAGCCACCCTGACCATCACCAGAACTCAGACTGAAGATGAGGCTGTCTATTACTGTTTATCATCATATGATGATAGTGGTAATGCACTTTCCACAGTGACAGAGGCAGATAGGGAAGTGAGACACAAACCTCTACCCTATCAGTGTCACACTTCTTTCCAGATTCAGGAGACTACAAACAGAGCCTTGAGTAGAACTGGCTCAGATCATCCTGAGATGAGGCCACTATTCTGCCTTTTCTTCCCAGTCCTACAGCCAGGATCAACACAGGATAGGTCAGGGATAATTTTAAGGCCACTGAGACAAATTTTCATGGTGTTTTCTGAACCAGGCAGTGAGAAAAAAAAGCAAAAATGAATGAAAATATAGATAGGAAGAGACAACCCTCCATGTCATCATCTCTGTATTTCTATATCATAGTGCCTGGACCTCTCCAAGGCTCCAATATTCCAGATTTCTAGCCCCTTGAGTTGCTCAACACTTGTCAGTCCCTGAAACCCCAGGTTCTCATGACAACATTCATGCTGAACACAGAAGACCAGTATAATGTACAAAAAGAGATTGGCCTTTATTTCCTCAGAGCTCACCCACCCATCCATAGAACCTTGGATTTCTCACAGTACATACATGCCCTCACTGCAAAGAGATGTTGGTTGCAGAAAACTGCTTCTCCAGATTCACATCTTTCTCAGTTTAATGTCTGTTCAGTTTAATGTCTGTTTGAGGCCATGTCCTCTGAGCCCTTCCCCATTTTAGCTACTCTGCAGGTCATCCAGCTCTAAAACAATCTTTTGGGATGCTGAATGATGAACTGTCCCCTCATGGGGTCACTGTCTCTTTCAGGATTGTACTGTCCCCCCTATCTGATTTCAAGGCAGCCTGAGTATCATTCTCCACCTCAGAGTCTGCACCAGGACATCTGATCAATGAACTGCAGGTCAGGTGTTCCCACTATGAATATTCAGGGACTATACTGGTTTGGATATGTGGTCTCCCAAAAAAGTTTGTATGTGACAAAGTGCAAGAATGTTTAGAAGTGAAATGATTAGGTTACAAAGTGTAAACTAATCAATGGCTTAATCCACTGATACGGGTGATAATTGTAGGCAGGTAGGTGGTGACTGAATGAGTTAATCACTGGAGGTATATCTGTGTGTTTTATATCTTGTTCCTTGTGAGTAATGCTCTCTCCACTTCCTGATTGCCATCACTTTAGATGCTCTCCTCCTCTGTCTTTCTCCAAGATATTCTGCCTCACCTTGGGCCTGGATCAATGGAGCTGTCTATCCACAGACTGACCTCTAAAATCATGCACCAAAAATATTCTCCTCTAAATAGTTCTTATGGGGTCTTTTGGTTACAGCACCAAAATAGTTGATGAAAACAGTGACCACAGAAGTCATTCTGTACCCAAAAAGCTGCTGTCTCCTGCTAAATTCCCACTGTAAATGTTCTAATGCCCCATCTAATATCAATTTTTTCTTGCTTTTTAAAAAAATGACATCTTAAGAATTCTGGATTATGGAAGATTTGAAGTATCAGACCCATACTGGAAGTGAATCCAAGGATATGTAGATGACTAGAGCCCTCATGTCTACATAGTGACCCAATAGATATCCAACTACAGGTGTGAGTTACAGAATCAAAGTCCTTCATTTCTAACCTCCATACCTTGTACAACAAAAGTTATTCTTGATACTATCCCAACCAGATATATACATTTGAGTAATTCTGAGAAATATATGTAAACCTATCAAAGTTGGAACAAAAAAGCTACCACATCCCACCTATGTAAACCAGAAACTCATTCCAATTTCCATGATCACACCAACTCAAAAGAAGGACAATTATGGTAACAATGCTACCCTTAACATGACAAAATTACCTGATAAGGAAAAAATCAAAAAATGACAATTTTTTTGCCTTCAAGAATATACAACATACCTTTCATCCTCAAGTATGTTCATTTTTTCTCAATATTTGGTATTGTCACATAAATACTGAGATATAAAGTGAATGTTTTTTAATACATTTTACATTGAACTTCACTTGGTAAGGAAAAGATATTGAAATACAATACATTAAAATACACACAAAAAAATGTTTTTCCGTGTAATTCTATTTCTTGTGGTCATCATTATTATATTCTTCACTCCACACTTCATATTCCCTTTTCCACCAAAAAATGCCTTAACTAGTGTTTATTAATTTCTCACTAGTCTTGCCAAGTGTGATAGTGCAAATCTTCATTGCAGACACTATTGGTCCATCAATATTGCTTTTGAATTGGTTTGTGCTGTATTTCTGTAAATACAGACCAAGGAAGTATTAAGAGAATAATCTCCATTCCATCCAGGTGCCTTCTTACTTCAAGTCTTCAGTGACAATCTACTGCCCTGATTATCAGGACTAATCATGACCTAATAGCCCCCCTAATGATTTCCTGTTAAGAGTAGTCCAAGGGACTTTAGACCAAAGTTAATGAAGTCATTCTTGTGTCTCCTGTGGAAGCAGCTCCCTTTTGTAAATAAGACTTCCAGTATGTGGTCTCCAATATGGGAGGTAAACCTTGTGCTAGTTGGTGACTAAGGAGAGGGAGTGATGTGACTCTCAATTCCATGTCCTGACTCCTTTTCCAGGAACCTGGCTACACAACAAATAGTATCTTTTATTGGACGTGGACATAGTCAGTCAACTGGCTTTATCACTGAGTTCTCAATAATTATTCAACCTTTCCATCAAGCTTGGTATTTTAGGATGCAGGGGACAATCAAACGAGTACTAATGACAGGAACATGGCCCCATTGTTGCCCTTTATTGGCTGTGACATAAATGTTGTGCTCAGAAGCCCCATGTTGAAAACCATGTCAGTGGTTTTCGTGTTTCCTAAGTCCATGGATAGCAGTTTAGCAAAAGAATTACAGACAAGGAAAACAAGCTTCCTCTTGAGTAAATGCCTATTTCAGTAAGAACTAGTAGTGGTCTGCCATGATGAAAGATCTAATGTCTTCAAGCTGCCCTCTAGTACCTAAAGCTGTTTCCCAAAGGGAGTAATCTCATTTTATGCACTCAGGGTTGGTTTTGATGTTTTGAAATGGAACAGAGACTATATAGCCCAGTCACATTCATGAGTGGAAATCCATGTTAATGACCCCATGAATAATCTCCATCCATGCCATCACGGACACGTTGAAAATGAGCTCTTTGGGGAAAAATATGCATGTCTAGGGAAGGAAGCTAACTGACAGCCACAGAATGAGGCAAGAATCTTCTGATCACTAGAATCATTTCCTTCACAGATTACTTACTCTTTGGTGAGCATGGCATCACATGGTACCAAATAGTTTCATGACTTTGCAACACACTGAGTATGATAGAACTGTTTTATTATAGTAAAAAAAGTGGTGATAGATACAGTCAGGTAAAATCAATATTGCATTTCTTTGAACATAAATGTGAATAATAGCAGAAAGTTGTAACTTTAAACACCCAAAACATTATTTTGATTCATACACCCCAAAATCACATTATTTAGATTTATAAATATTGGGATAGTATATTATTTCATTCATGGACTTTCATAGAATACTTGGTAAAACAGTGTACACTTTAACATTATTTTTCTTCAGAATCAAAATAATTCTAGTAAACATGAACCAGCTTAACATATGTAGCTGCAAATATCAGAGGATAAATATTATTTTTCTAATAACTAAATGTTTATAATATTATCAAGCATGCTTCAGTCAAGTTGGTTATGTAAATCTATCTTAATAAATGTAAATGATAAAGTGAAAAGAAAGATCAAATATGTCTGAGAAAACATTAGTGTCCAAATTGACATGTGATGTAAATATATAATACATATTTTATTTTAAAGAAATGACATGAGAAAAAGAATGTAAAAATAGATCTTAAATAGCTTTTTTCATCAATTCCTTGTGAAATTGATGCTATTTTGATATACTGTGTGATATATATTATTAAAACAATTATGTATCCCTTTATAATTTTAATGTGATTAGTAGACTCAAATGCATAAGAAACCTTCATTAATGATTACACCTATTATTAGAGGCTGCTGGTCTGGATATCTCATGTGTCAGGCTCTTCAACATCATCTGGGACCTGAAGCCACTTCTCCACCCATAGGAAATAGGTGTGAATCCAGAGAGAGTCTCTTGTACTGGAAAGTCAGAGACGTGGGGAATCAAAAAAACTGCCCATGAGACTAACCTTAGCTTATGCTCCATCTCAGATGAAAAATATCCACCAAGAAATTGTCACTTCTTGTTTTACCTGACCTCATGACTGATGGACTTCAAAGTTCCGGCCTTGTGTTTTAGTGATTCCTCATGTTGTCTGTACCCATCAGAACCTGGGTTTATATCATGAGCTGTTTCACAAATGGTATGTAATTCTCTATATCACGTGATAAAGACTGTTCCTTAAACCTCTGGTCTACAACTGGGATTCTCCTAAGGGTCTTCATATAAACACCAGCTTTTTTTGGTATCACTAATTTCTTATTGTTATAGATCTAGGGCATAAATTTGTCCATACAGCTGCACCACTGGCACCACTGTTTTGGCCCAGTGCATTTTCACACTGGAATGCTTTAATCTATTTGGCAATTTTTACTGTTTCTCAAATATAAGTCGAACAACATCCCCAAACTTGAAATATCCTAGTTCTTGAAATCAGAGTGGCCCTATAAACTTTGTGCTTCTTTTCTGATAGTGTGGGTAGTTTGAGATGAAACAATTATTCATTATTTTGTGAGAGATGACTCAAGTAACTTCAAACAACTAAACCCTAAATATTTCAGCAAATAGTGTGGAAAAAAACTTCTTAAGATTTCATGCATACTCGGAAATGCCTCTGTCTCTACAAACCATTCCATATACTTGCCACTTCATGCACATTTTCATCCAATTTCCATGACAACATACATTTCTAGGAAATTCTCCAGGATTTCCAAGATAGTCAAGCCAGCATAGACTGAGTTATGATAGGAAAGGGTAAAGCAATGCAGTTCAAGAAACTAAATGAAGACATATACCTTTGTCTATTCCATGTGAATGTATGTAGTTTCTGATCCTCTTCTATGAGAGAAA